TCTATTTAATTTGATTACGCATCGAACGGGTTTCCAACCAAATCCCTGCCCCAAATAAATTGAGGTAAACTACACCTGGAGTTAACCGGGTAGGCAAATGTCACATGAAGTGACTGGATATCCTGCGCATAAATTAAATAAAAAGGAAAATACAGCGTCCTGTACTCCCAGTAGAAGCTATGGTTAAATATAAAACCCCATAACTCCCCCCATATGTTCATACTCAAGGTATATACGTTCCATGAGTTTTGGTGCGTAATCTCTTTCACTTTACGTTATTTACATATTATTAGACTTGGTGATGACTCTCAACCATAACACAATCCAACATTACAATCATTCAAGCAACCAAACATACCAATTTAAAATCTTGAATAATTAGTGACCACATAACTTATAATAGTTGAACCCTTTTTAATCTACCTCGGTGTCAAAGACACCTTAATTAAACGCATAATGCGCTGCAAATCCTATCCCTCGGTGTTAGAAACACCTTAAGTGCATATAAGCACCGCAATATAATTTATTCCTATGTATTAAGACACTTAATAGCTCAATTCCCATGCTTAAAACATCAATAAAAATTATATGAACCACAATTAAATTTCCTTTTCATACTCCAAACCAAATTAAACACTTAGTTTAATTAAACATGCTCTCAATCATGCCAATAATAAAAGTGTGGTTCATATTCAACATGCCAATATAATTAATTCCAATCACCAATTCATCATAAATACTTCATACATCACAAATCAGTTACCAACATCAATCTAAGTAATAATTCCAACCAATACCTATCATGATACTTACTTGGAATTAATTAAACAAGTCCTAGCACGCTTCTACACACTTAAATAATTACCAAGTACGCGAACGTACCTTGAATATGATCTCAAAATCGCCATGACTAAATAAAATCACTCACTTGAAAATCTCCTACAAACCAAAATTACAAAGAGGCATTAATACCTATTTCACACAAATTTCAAGCAATATATACACTCCTTAAATCACTTATAAACCCTCTAAAACAACCTAAAATTTAATTTAAAACCCTTACTTTTATCCCCAATTAATGGGTAATTAAAAATCCTTTTAAGAAACATAATTATAGCTTATATATAAAAATTCCAGCTTTATTAAATCATTTAAAATTGTTGTAATTGTGTTTTAAAACACTTATTTCAATAATTTAAATCACCCATAAACAATTTCCATCAATATTCATAAACTTAGAAACCTAGAGTTTATAATTTGGGGTTTTTTAATTCAAAACCAAATCTAAAAATTTATATACAAAATACTTATCATCAAACATTATAAAATCATCACAAAACACAAAAAAACAATAATTAGATTAAGGGTAGATTTAATTATAAATCAAAAAGAATAATTTTTTTTCTTTTTTTTTGGTTCGAACACTGGCGCACAGCACCACCACGGCAGGCTGCGGCTGCGCCCGCCTGGTGGCTGCTGCTGCCGACGAGTGCTGGTGGTAGTGGCCGCCGGCCGGTGGGCAGCCATGGTGGTAGCCAGCGGTGGTGGTGTGTGTGTGTGGGTGGTGACTGAAACAAAAATAAAGTAAAAGGGAAGGGGAAAAATTAAGAGAAAAAGAGAGAAAATAAGAGGAGAGAGAAAGAGAGTTACCTTTAGGTATTCTCCACCTTGGGCAAAGTTTAATTAGCCCATGTGATGGGTATTTATACTCTCTCTTCTAAAACCCTCCTAGAATTAAATTCTCTTTTTACCCTTAATGATCCCTTTCCTAGTCAAACTAGTATTTTGACTTTCTTTAAAAAAAACTTGTTGAATTTAAAATTTATTTTTAAAAAATAATATGCCCCAATATTTTCAAATCATGAAATAAAATATTTTCAAGATTATTAAATAATTAAAAATAAACTTTTAATTAAAATAATTCTTTTTAAATTAATGAAACACCATATATAATTCATTTCGAATTATTTAAATACTTTAAGAAATACTTATAAATTAAAATACGTTTAAAAATACGAGGTATTACAGTCTACTCCTCCTTAAAAGAAGTTTCGTCCTGAAACTTGGGTAATAAAATTCAAACTTTTTCCTCACTTTGTATAATACTGCTGTACTCTTTTGTCATACTTTTGCCTTTAATGTCTCTTTGAAATCAAAATTACTCGAAATAACCGTTAAAAATGTGCAAAAAGCACAAAAATAACTGAAAATACAGGGAAAAAGCGCGAAATTCTACCGCATTCTAGCCCCCTTAAAGAAAACGAGTTATGTCCCCGTAACTCACCATACCTTAAACAACTCGAGATATTTCTTTTCCATCTCATCCTCAGCTTCCCAAGTTGCTTCTTCATACTCTTGGTTAGACCATAGCACTTTAACAATCTTAACTTCCTTATTACGTGTATTACGCACTTTCCAGTCAAGGATCTTGACAGGTCTTTCCTCATAAGTTAAGTTTTGATCTAACTCAATGGTTTCGGGTTGTAGCACGTGCGACTTATCAGAGATATACCTTCTTAACTAAGATACATGAAATACATCATGCACTGTACTTAGCTCCATAGGTAAGGCCAACCTATAAGCTACTTTGCCTATCCTTTGCAATACTTCATATGGACCAATATACTTTGGGCTAAGCTTTCCTTTCTTCCCAAATCTCATTACACCTTTCATTGGTGACACCTTTAACAATACCTTGTCACTGACCTCAAATTCCTCCTCTCTACGCTTCAAGTCCGCGTAGCTCTTTTGGCGATCTTGCGTCGCTTGAATCGTAGCTTGAATCTTCTTTACCTGCTTAACTGCATCCTCGATCATTTGAGGCCCTAAGATTATTGTTTCACTTATGTCGTTCCAACAGATTGGACTGCGACATTTCCTTCCATATAATGCCTCAAATGGAGCCATGCTAATGCTTGCATGGTAGCTATTATTATAGGAAAATTCAATTAATTCTAAGCTATCTTCCCATCCCCCTTGGAAATCTATAACACAAGCCCTCAACATGTCTTCCAAGGTTTGAATGGTTCTCTCAGTTTTCCCATCTGTGGCAGGGTGAAATGCTGTACTCATCTTAAGTGTTGTACCAAAGATTTCCTACACACTCTTCCAGATTTTAAAAGAAACCTAGAATATCTGTCAGACACAATATCTCTTGGAACTCCATGTAATCTTACCACATTTTTTATGTAAGATTTTGCAAGTTGCTCCATCTCTCAGGTCTCCTTCATTGGTATGAACACTGCAGATTTTGTTAGTCTATCCACCACTACCCAAATGGTGTCATTTCCACTCTTTGACTTTGGGAGGCAAGTTACAAAGTCCATTGAAATACAATCCCATTTCCATCCAGGGAATTTCCAATGATTGCACAGTTCCTTGCGGTCTTTTGTGTTCTATCTTCACTTTCTGACAAGTTAGACACTTTGCCACAAATTCCGCAACCTCATTCTTCATTCTCGGCCACCAATACATCTTTTTCAAGTCTTTATATAGCTTGTCCCCTCCTTGGTGTACTGAATACGGTGTATTGTGGCCTTCTTCCATCAACTTTCTCTTCACCTCGTCACATTTTTGTGGTACACACCAACGACCTTTGTACCTTAAACTCCCATCTTCATGAATTTTGAAATCCGTAGCTTTTCCTTGCTTTATTTTCTCACGAATCCTATCCAACTTTACATCTCCTGACTGATTTTCCCTTATCTCATCAAGTGTTGTTGGTTGAATACTTAGGTTCGCAAGTATGCCTACTGGCACTCCTCATTCTACCACTTCTAGGTTCATTTTCCTCATTTCTCTACATAACTCATCAGCCACTATTAAAGTGTTAGTCCATGACTGGTTTTACGACTTAGAGCGTCTACAACTACGTTTACTTTCACCTCATGATATTGTATGTCTAATTCATAATTCGTCGTATGTTCTAACCATATCCTTTGGCGTGAGTTTAAATATCTTTGAGTGAAAATGTATGTTAAGCTTTTATGGTCAGTATAAATCCTACATTTCACTCCATACAAGTAGTGTCTCCAAATTTTTAGCGCAAAAATGATTGCAGCTAGTTCTAATTCATGAGTAGGGTGATTTACTTCATGAGTCTTTAATTGTCTTGATGCATACGCAATCACCTTCCCATTTTGCATAAGTACACATCCTAGACCATTCTTGAATTCGTCACTATATACATCATAAATTCCACTATCGTCTGGCAGTGTAAGCACTGGCGCTGTGATTAGCTTTTGTTTCAAAAAGTTGGAATGCTTCCTCACACTTGTCATCCCACTTAAACTTCTTGTCCTTCTTCATTAGAGAGGTCATAGGTTTAGCAATCTTCGGGAAATCTTTCACAAAACGCCTATAATACCCTGCTAAACCTAAGAAACTCCTAACTCAGACACTGTTTTTGGCGTAGGCTAACCTTTTACTGCCTCAATCTTTGCTGGATCTCAATCTACTCCATCTTTGGACACAAAATGACCTAGAAACGCCACTTTCTCCAACCAAAACTCACACTTAGAGAATTTTGCGTAAAGCTTGTTTCCCCTTAATGTTTGCAGAATTGCCCTAAGATGTTCTACATGTTCTTATTTACTCTTCGAATACACCAGTATATCATCTATGAACACTACCACAAACTTGTCCATAACTGGATGAAACACCCTATTCATCAAGTTCATAAAGATTGCAGGAGCATTCGTCAATCCAAAAGGCATTACTGTGAACTCATAATTTCCATATCTTGTTCTAAATGCAATCTTGGGAATATCTTCATTTGCAATTCTAAGTTGATGGTAACTGGATGAAAACACAGTTGCGCCTCTCAACTGGTCAAATAGGTCATCAATCCTTAACAGTGGGTACTTGTTCTTTATGGTGACCTTATTTAACTCCCTATAGTCAATACATAACCTCATACTTCCATCTTTCTTCTTAGCAAATAACACTGGTACTCCCCAAGGTGATGCACTTGGTCTAATGTATCCCTTTTCTAATAAATCCTACAATTTCTCCTTTAACTCACTCATCTCTGCAGGTGTCATTCGATATGGTGCCTTGGAAATTGGTGTTGTTCCTGAAACTAGCTCTATTGTGAAATCAATTGCCTTTTTGGGTGGCTTTTTATGAATCTCTTCTGGAAACACATCCAGAAATTCATTCACTACTTCTATATCCTCAGGTTTAGTCGACTCTTCATGTTCCATACTCCTCACACTACAAAAATACACTGGATGCCCCTTCTTAATATACTTTGCCAATTTTAACACATATATGATTCTTGGGCACTTGGTTTCACCATGCATCCAATATGTCACCAACTCATTTTCAGCTATACTCATTTTTACTTTCTGTGATCGACAACTAATCTTTGCGCTGAACTTGCTCAACCAATCCATTCCCAAAATGACATCAAAGTCACTTAACCCAAACTCGATAAGATCTGATAGAAACACTTTTCCTTCGATTTCTAAAGGTACATATTTAAAGGTCTTGTTACACTTTACTACCCCACCTGTAGGAATAACTATAGGCAAATCTACCTCATCTACAGTTTTCAAACAGTTTGATAGTTTTGAAACAATGGCCTTTGAAATGAAAGAAAAAGTTGCACCAGAATCAAACAAGACTTTAACAGGAATAGAGTTAATAGAAAAGGTACCAGTGATGACATCTTTCGTGGAATCAGCCTCACGCCTACTCATCCCATTCAATTTCCTTGGAGCTCCACTCTTCACCTGATTTCCTCCATTATTATTGTTATTGCCCTTTGCTCCATTCTGTTGTGCCCCCTTGTTTCCAGAATAGTTGTTGCTTCCCTGAAAGTTTCTCTGAGCCCCTCCTTGATTATTACTCTGTTTGTTTCTATTGGGATCCTTGGAGAAACATTCATACTCCCTGTGTCCTAACTTGTTGCAAGCACGACAAGTAATCAAATTTCCATCACAATCTTTACCAAGGTGATCGTTCTTACACCTCTTGCAGTAGAAATGCCTTGCTCCTCTGTTATTTCCCTGGGTAGAGTTCTTAGCTCCACCATTAAAGTTTCGTCCTCCGTGACGATTGTTGCCTTGGAAATGATTGTTGTTGTGGAAGTTGTTATTATGGTGGTATTTCTGTTTCTTGAAGTTGTTCTGGTTACCTTGCGGGTTTTCAGAGTTCTGTCCCACTTTTTTTTCTTTTCCTTTCCTTCCACTTCGGCTATCTCTTTCCTCTTCTTTAATTCTAAGGCATATAGGTATGCAGCTCTCTCATACACTTCATCCAAAGTTTCAAATACTTGCCCACACAGCTTTAACTGCAAATCGGTAGTCAGTCCACTCTCAAAGTTCCTAGCCTTAGACTTTTCCGTAGAAACAGACTCTTTATCAAATTGTGACAGCTCAATAAACTTGGTGTAGTATTCCGCGACCGACATATTCCCCATTGCAAGGTTAGAAAATCCCTCAGCTTTTTGTTTCTATAAGAAGCTAGGGTAAAACTTGTCCTAACCTTCTCCTGAAACATAGTCCAATTAAATCTACGTAATGCCTTAATGGTAGCTTCATTTTGCTGCCACCAAAGGCCAGCTTCACCCCTAAGGTAATAGGTAGCACAACCTACTTTTAAAGTTTCCGGACACCCTACTACCCCAAACAGTTTCTCAAACTCCCTCAACTAGTTTTCCAGTATAGTTGGATCACGCTCTCCTTGATAGGTTGGTGGCTTGCTCTGCGCCACCTTCTTAAATAGTTCTCCCTGAGTATCCATGTTATTGGTTGAGTTCCTTGCTAATTGTTGGGCAACAACCGCCAACTGCCTCACAACTTCACTTAGCTCTCCTCCATCGTTGTTATTACCACTCCTTCCTGCCATCTTTCTACGCTTGAATTAACACAAAGGGGTCTTTATTAAATAAGGTATTGGCTAGCTCTCAAGTTAGACACCCACCTAACTAGTTAATACCCTTGAAGCATACACATTTATTTTAAGCTAAAAAATTGGGATTACAAAAGTTATAATTCCCAAAATTTGCAGCTTTGTCAACCAAATATTGATTGCTAACCAGCCACACATTTAATAAAGCATCACATTAATTAATAAAAATAATTCCCATGGATTCCCAGAGTTTGGAAATAAATTATTGGAATATTTTTGAGTAAGAAATGGCTTATTGGAGTAGTGATACGAAATGAATGATTTTGGGAACGAAATGAATGATTTTGGGAACGAAATGAATAATTTTGGGAATGAAATGAATGATTTGGGAACGAAATGAATGATTTGTCAATAAAATGAATTAATTGACAAGAAAATAAATGAAATTTTATTGCGGGGTAAGGAAATGAATGGAATATTGAAATAAAATGAGTTTAAATAACTTATGCAACTACATAAGTTTACTGACTCACTGTGGACATGCCACTTATTGCTTTACTGAAACTGAAACAATTAAAATGCGAAAACGAATTTAAGAATCCTAAAAGAAATGAAACTACAAAAATCTAGCCCTTTCGAACATTATCCTTCTTGTCGGTAGATTGTTTGTAGCTTCCAGGATCGAATTCAGGGCCATCTTCTTCCTCCATTAGTTCAGGTGACTCTGGTTCTTGCTCTACTTGGACAAACTCTTCTCTTCCTCATCATCAGATGAAATATCAATTATAATTGGAGTTGGAGGTGGATTTGGATTTGGAATCTCCATAATGGAATTATCAACAATATGGTTACTCTCATCCATCATCTCTACTTCTTCCTGCCCTCCATCTGTCCCTGCTTGATTACCTTGAGTGGGAAAAGAACTTCCTAACTGATGACTAGCGGAAGGGGAATTATTCCCTGCCGGATTTTCAAGTAGTAATTGGGATATGGAATGTGTAAGTGCTTGCAATGATATTTCTCAACTCTAACGAGGTAAGAAATAGGTACCTATAATCTGGATACCACTGGCCATAATAGTCTCTATATTTAGAGTAGTTTAGGATGTCCCCTGGAAATAGAAATCAGAAAATTTTGCTTTGACTGCAAGGTATAGGGGTTCATCCGGAAGACAATGAATAATCATAGCAGAAACTCGACCAGGAAGGTCAAAGTGCTTGTCTCTTAAGACATCGCTCATGTGGGAACAATAGAATTGGATTTTCTTGACATAGTCAAACAGATGTTCATTGTTTTTCTTAACTAGAGTACCAATTTGGGAATGTTTGCTAGGAAGAATCGGCATCCTATAAAGGAAAAGACTTAGAAAAGAATTCCCTTCCCAAAGAAAATAAAAATAATACAATTCTTGTATGAATTAGGTTCAATGTTCAATCAAACAATTTCACTTATTCCTAATCACATAATCACATGCTTTCAATTAATCAATCCACATGATCAAACATCACAACCTAAAATTTAATGCATACAAGATCATGATTATTTCTAATTTATATGCCCAAATTCTTTCCTACCCAAGCTCACCAACATGCTGTAAAAAGCTTTTAACACATAAGACTTACCTCAATCCTTGCTTTCCTGCAAAATGAACAAATTGAAAATTATTTTGACTCTTCTTTAAAATATATATTTTGAAAATAAGCTCAGAAAAAGGCCTAAATATTCGGCCAAATTAAATAAAATTTGGACACCCCAAAATAAAAAAATTACGGATGTCCTTCATAAAAAAAAAACAAATTTCGGATTTTCTAGAATAAAAAAACAAAAAAAATTCGGATCTTTTTTACAAAAAAATAATGAATATATTTTTCGGTTTCCAAAAATTAAAATAAATGAAAATAACTCTCTTTTAAAATAACTTAATTAAATAAACACTTGGCCAAGTTTAAAACAAAACACTTTAAAACACGTTTTTGGCTTTAATGGTAGTAAAAATCTCAACCAAAGCTCCCAAATACCACTTTGTAACACCCTAGAAATTCCTTTCCTTAAAAATACCCGTTTTCCCCTTTTTAATATACGAAATAGGAAAATCTAAGACATTACCGCCACTGTGAAGATGTAAGAAGGCAAATATCAAAGACACACAACGGAATACTATCTTTAAAACCATTCAATGAATCAACTTAAAAGTCAAACCAAACGAAAGTAAAGTCAAACCAAAGTTAAATGAAGTCAACCTACAACTTGGAACCATTGTAGGCCCTTAAAATTAAACAATACTGAAAACCTTTACGTTAGTCTCATGAGCATAATAAAATATATAATATTCAAAGTAAATAAAACACATCATATTCCTATGGAAACTAAGCATGAATCGCTCTTCACTCATGCCCATCATGATAATGCTCCATCACCTGAAAAACTTCTCTCTACTTGTCCCCACTACTCGCCATTAGAAATGGGTCGTCGTAGGGCCAAGGTAAAGACAAGGCCAAACAAACATACAACACACAATCAGCAATGCTGAGTACATAAGCGTAATAAAAACACACTAACATGCTTTCATCCTATCATCGCACAACTTACCTTGTTGCACCTGTAAACAAGCATACAAGACATTCAACATTTAACTAGATAAATACCAATGTCCATTTAATTTGATTATGCATCGAACGGGTTTCCAACCAAATCCCTGCCCTAAAATTGAGGTAAACTACACCTGGAGTTAACCGGGTAGGCAAATGTCACATGAAGTGACTGGATATCCTGCGCATAAATTAAATAAAAAGGAAAATACAGCGTCATGTACTCCCAGTAGAAGCTATGGTTAAATATTTAAAACCCCATAACTCCCCCCATATGTTCATACTCAATGTATATATGTTCCAAGAGTTTTGGTGCGTAATCTCTTTCACTTTATGTTACTTACATATTATTAGACTTGGTGATGACTCTCAACCATAACACATTCCAACATTACAATCATTCAAGCAACCAAACATACCTGTTTCGGGGTTTTCTATGTCCTTCGGGAGAGTTACAATTCCAAGACTGGATTCTGGGCACCTGTACCTTCAAAACAACGGAGGCTCCGGTTGGGTGGAGTTCCGCCTCCGACGATCAAGTTAGAACGTGTTCGGAATATGTAAAGAGTGCGGAAAGTAAAGTATCTTCTCGGATTCCGAGAGAATATCTGCAATTAATGAGTGCACTGTTTTTTGAATATTTCTAAATGAATTTCCCAGGGTCTTTGGATGCGTGCCGCCATCCTAGGTTACGGAAACCTAGGAATGGTGGGCTATCCCGGGAATTGGGCCTTGAGGGCCGCCTTTTCCCCAATGATTGGGGATGACACGTGTCAGCAGAGAATTGGTTCATTTTGAACCTCTCTTAAGGTGACACGTGTCACTATTTTATTGGGCCATGTGGCCTTGGGTATTTTTACCCAAAACATTTTCCCTTCACAGGTGTGACGTGGCATGCCACGTGGCACCTGTGACACTTGTCACTGGGATACTGGTGAACAATTTTAATTGTTTCACTTACTGGGAGAATTACTGGAACACCCCTGAAATTACACTCCTATAAATAGATTTTTTACCCTTCCCATTTTTGGTCATTTCCAAAATTTAGAAAGAGTTAACCGTTTTTAGAGAGAAAACGTCTGACAACCGCCTATGTATCCTTCAAGCAATTGCCTTCATTTTTTGTTAGACACAGGCGGGGCATTTTTCTCAAACGGGGGATCATCTGAACCGTTTAAGTATCTGTCAGACAATTCTCTTGCTTTCCAATGGGTTACGACCGATAAAACGTTTGTGCCTTTGACAGACAGGAAAATTTCTGAGAACCGTTTGTAGGGTTTGCAAACAATTCTCCATTTTCCAAGGGGGTATATCCGGTAAAACGTCTGAGCCTGTTGCAAGCAATTTTCTGATTTCTGCCTGCTAGTTTAGCCGGTCAACGCCTGACTACTTTTCAGCTCATCTTTGAGGTACCGTCTCTCCCTTTCTCAGCTCTTTCATATATTTCCGTTTGTGTACATAGCATTCCATATATGGGTTCTCCAACATCACACAAGACAGTACATAGTTTAGTAGGCAGCCGGTCCCCTGGTACGGCTGAGTCTAGGACTGGGGGTGCCGCCTTTGGGTGCCTGGATCACTCTTGTTCATCTCCCAATCCGACCGTCTCTGTGTCTATGCAAGACACTATGGCTAGGACTAGATGGACGTCTGTAGATATGGAGTATAGGGAAGAGAGCATAGAGGGTGCGCCACCTGAGGTAGAACAAGATGAGGAAGCAAGAGGATCCCCTATGGGTGCACCCAGGACTCCTAGTGACGGGATCCTCAAATCTGAGAATGGAGACGGTGAAGAAACCGTCTCTGTATCTGGCGCCGAGGAGGCGGTTGAGGCTGCTTCTGAGAGAGACAGGAGTGAGTCCGCCTTTGTGTCTGGGTCAAGCTTTAAAGAGAGCAGCAGCTCACTATCACCGGTTGAGGATAGTGAGGCAGAAGAGAGATCAAAGTGGAATAATGAAGGGGACCCTTTCCGGATCCATGT